TTTGGCCTTTATAATAGCTTAAATGTTGTTTATAATGAGTGCCATTATAATGTATGTAGTGTTTGTAAATATTTAATTTACCAATAGTTTTCCTTATTTTTAGGGGTGCGACGATAAATCGATTCGTGGATCGATTCTGCGATTTTTCCGAATGCATCATGATTCTCTCTGAAATCGATTCTGAGCTGTTTTTAACTGCAGCTGGCATTGTGCGCTTTAGAAACAGCCATACTTTGCTTGCTTCCAGTTCCTTACACACACACAACTTGAACCAAAAATAATCATTCATAAAGTTTGAAAAGGTTGACGTGAATTACAGGAGTGTTCACAGTGGGCTGTTTATGATTTATTTGATTTGATTTATGCATTTAGCAGACGCTTTTATCCAAAGCGACTTACAGTGCATACAGGCTATACATGTTTAACATTAATCTTGTGTCATAAAAGCATAAAAGCCGAGGTGCAAGTACATTTAACCACTTACATTGCTCAGCCGAATGCTCAAGCGCTCTTCTTTGTGAGCGTTTAAGTGTGCGGTTAAAAACTAGCCTAGATCGCCATCTGCTGTGAAAAACTAAGCTCAGAATCGATTCCAGAGAGAATCTCAATGCATTCGGAGAATGGAATGATTTATCGTTGCACCCCTACTTATTTTTGTATGTATTAACGTGTCATGCGACTTGTACACCGATGCAACTTTTCTTTTTGCTTTTTTCTCTCAACAATGTGCAATTGCACCTCTTGTCCCGGTGAAAATTATACTAAGGTGCAACTTATTTTCCGGTAACCCAGAAACACTAAGGTTTTTTAAATTTTTATTTTTTTTATTTTTTTTATTTATTATATTGCACAAATGCCTTTTGAAAAGAACTGATGTAAAACAATCTTTTTAATCCTTTGTCTGACTATAGTACTCCAGACCTGGAGATGGAGACTGTGAATCTTGACATGGACAGTGTAATTTTCATGAAAGAGCTGACTCAGGCACACAGTCGATCTGATGAGGAGGGTGGGCAGCTGAACGGCTTCTGCCACCCAGCGCTAGAGAGTGATGTCTCTGATACCCCCAGCAACAAGCTACAAAGAGATCCCTTTGCACTGGATATGAGCTGTCCTGTGGGGTTACACAAGGGTGCCCTTCTGTATCCTTTGCAATTACTGGTTTATAGAAAATGAAGAATTTTTTTGTGGTGTTCTGGTTGCATGTTTTCTTTAACCTGACTGATAGAAATGAGGTTCTGCAGACAGCGTACAGTGACAGATCCCTGCTGCCACATCTAAAAGATCTCACGGTTCCACAGGTCATAGTGAGTATCTGACAAACCAACACATCTAGCCTATGTTAGGTATACAGTAGGGATGCAATGATACCGTTTTTTTTTTTCAGATCCGATCTGATAAAGAAAATTCTGAACTAAAATCTACTAAATATAGACAACTTAATTTGAATTAAAAATAACAAATGAAAAATATGTATAATCATAATCTGACAAAAATACTATTATAAACTAGGTTAGTGGATAATTTACCAGCAAAATTTATTCTAGAATAAAAATGAGTGCACAATTTTATCAAATCTAAACATTTAGTGAAATAACATTATCTAGTTTGGGAACAAATAAAAGTGAGTAAGTGTAGAACTAAATCTGGTAAAATGTATTTGTATTTGTATCTTTGTATTGTTGTAAAATACATTAATGAAAACAAGTAAAAAGACGAGTTTTTACAGCTTTTCGTGTTTTCACTGTTATACACTCGGGGGCGCTATTACACATATTCTGAAGTACAAAACCTGAACAAAACACGTGAACAGGACGGAGAAAGGAGCAATCTCTTATGTAAACCGATGCATATGAAAAATAATGCAATCATCAGCAATAGACAGCAAACAAATGAAAACTGCTTAATGTTACGGAGTGAAATGTTGATCCAGGAAGTGGTATATGTCTGTGCAAGCTTTGGAGGTGTTGATGGAAGCGATTTATTGGATTTATGCTTTAATAATTGTACAGAATATCATCCAGATGTAGTTTTTGATAAAAATTTGATTTTCTCACCATTTTGCTCAAAATTATACATTTTTTATGAATTCTACCTATAATTCAAGTGTTGATCAAAAAAAAAAGAATGCTTTAAGCTAGAATAAAACGGATTCTTTTTTCTTTTTTTTTAAATAAAGCTCTGATCTTTATTTTGGTGTATTGCATATTCAAATATTCATACAGCAAAATATACTGGAGCCCATAACATTTTAGTTAACATAAATTAACATAAAAATTTTTCAAAAATGCTGGCGGGGAAAGAGTTAAAGTCTGCATGAACCGGAAGTTGCTGCCGGCTTGATTTCAGTGTAGTGACGTATTTCCATCTGAAACGGAATATTGAATAGAGGGCATGGTTTTATTTTTGGACTTTGACTTTATGGTGCTTTATAATGTTTTTGTGCTTTCATGGGGCTTACCAATAACGCAGAGTAGTATACGCAGAATATCGGATTTGGATCGGTCTCGTCTGACCGATACCCGATCCGGCAGAAAATGCCAGTATCGGAGCCGTTACGGATACTGAGTATCGGATCGATGCATCCCTAGTATACAGTGTCCTATTATTTAGTCCCCCAAATTGTGGTACAGAGGTAGTTGCCTTACTAATTTGTTTGTTACAGGACCAATGGGAAGAATATAATCTTTGATGATATGTTCTCTCAATTTATATATTTTTTTAAGGTCTTTTTACAGTATCTGAGGTTTCTTTATTTGAAATATTCTCATGATGCCCACAAACAAATCCGAGCTTTACGGACCCCAAGTATTTCTCAGGTCTGTCACCAAACTGTGAATATTATTTTAAACATTACCTATTATACGTATTGCATATTGTTCGTCTAAGGTTGGTGTTTTGTTTTTTGTTTTTAAAGATCATAGACTGGGTTTGCTTACTACTAGATGCTCATTTCACCGTCTTGGCTGTGGCACCAGAAGCCAAAAGATTGGTCTTTGATCTTCACAAGTTCGTGAGATCACAGGTAGGGCATGTTCCTTATTGTTGGAAAATTACAATTCTGTGCTTATTATTTTATAAAGCTGAAGTTACAATGAAAAATTTCTTGCAACCCTTTTCAGGTAAAACTGTATGCTGAACTGGGCAAAATTGAGGGAAGTCTTCAAGTGCTTAAAAGTTCCAAACAGTCTGAAGATTTTGGCATGTATGCCATACAAGTGATTGAGCTCTTTTAGATTACTTGCACAGATTATTTTTAATAAAATGTGCCCTATTTTCTGCCTGTTATGAAATGTATTATGAAATTACTGAAATAAAGCTTTGCAGTATATCATGCACAATGTGTTTTATTCATGTCTGTAGGGCTGCAACAAACTATTATTTTGATAATCGATTAATCTAACGATTATTAGAACGATTAATCGACTAATCATAGATTATTTCACAGATTAAATCTGCAGTCCGTAACTTTTTTTGGTAAAAAATTATCCAAAATCTGTTTTATATATTTTGCTCTGCACATTTTGTATGTTTCTCTTATTGCTTCAGACGTTTGTTATATTTGACTGTAAGTGTCCTGCGAAGTGGACATTACTGGATATTCCGCCATGATTCCAGTTTGAAGGGAGCGTATGTTTCATGCAAAGGGCATTTAAGTGTGCGAGACGTGAATTTAAATTGTATTTATTTACAGAGGTATATTATATCCCACTTCACGCTTCTCTAGTAAGTTTTTATATGTGTGTGAAGACGCTGCAGGCAGCGGCGCAGAGCAAATCTGTAAATGAATATTCCGAAGTGAAGTAAACTTCAACGGATTTCCCCTGCTCAGGGAGTAGGGAGCAATGGACACTGTGTAGGGACCATGTCAATCAGAACACAGTTCATGCAAAGAAATAAGGTGTAACTTTTATTCACTCTGTAGTATTGTTGTTGCCGCTGCCATGTCGTGTTTCGTTGTGAAAGCGAAACTACTTTGTTTGGCCTTCCAAAAGAGGACGATATCTGCTTCGTCATGCCTAGAGCTGATCCTGCTGGTCACTGAGGAAATACATCAACTTCGCGCTGTGGATCGCCGGATCAGCTTTCACCGTGGACAAAGCGGAGTCCAGCCCGGGGTTCGTCACATGTGGTTGCCGCAAGCCCGCCGGCCGCTCCTTCATCGAATCTCACAGCCCGCCACTCACTCTAGCCCGCCGGCCTCCGCTCACTCAAGCTTGCTGTGTTTGGTTGTGAAAGCGAAACTACTTTGTTTGGCCTTCCAAAAAAGGACACAACTAGAAATCAGTGGTTAAGTTGTATTTACAACACTGTTCCAGAACAGTTCAACCCAAATATTCAGATGTGTGCAGTGCATTTTATGGAGGACTGTTTCCTGAACCTGCAGAGTAGCCTACAATGCGATTCTATAAAGTGGGGTAGTTCCAACTTTGCAAGGACAGTCTGGCGCTTCTTACTCACAGCCTGCAAGTACGTATTTCATATTTAAAGAGTTTGCCGCTACACTGGAGAAACGACAAACATGTGCTACACTGACGATTCAAACGCGAGTTTTGAGCAATCACAAATGCAGACCTGGTTTTATGTTTACGCAGCGCGAAACGCAACGCGTAAAAAGACTGTATAAGTCATTATAATCAGTAATTATATCCCCACTGGATGCAACAAATGCCTCGTTTGTAATAGGTTTTATTGGGACACAGAATCACAGTATGGCAAGGGGCGTAACATTTCCGTCATGCTTGAGGTATTCCGCCAATCACAGCGCACTGGATCAGCGCCAATCAGCGTACACCTCGCTTTTCAGAACGATGAGCTTTGTAAAAATCCACACGTTTCAGGAAGGCGGGGCATAGAGGAGCAACAATAATGTGCATTATGTGGAAAATGTTTTTTGAACTTTAAACCGCATAAACACGTTGCATTGCACCAAATAAACAAAATTCTTTTTAGCAACGTCATATGACCCCTTTAAAAGATACGAGCGACAGTTTTAATACCTTTATCTGTAAATATTTTTGTTGATGAAATTTGCCAATTTTGTGGTCTTGGAGAAACAGCTGCATTTTTATTGCGATTGCAGTATAACCAACACATTTTGGGTTGATTTAAGTTTTTATATTCAAAGATATTTACCATTCTAATTTTGCCTTTTTTTCTGTGTATATATTCTCATACAATTATGTATGCAAACCCATTGTATTTGTTTTCTATTATGATTGTTCATTGTTAAAGATACAACCATATTTCCCTGAGCTTGTAAGTAATTAAGTTCTGCAGTAATAATAATAAAAAAGACAATAAGAGAGGTGCACTAACACCTTATAGCATCAGTAACTACACAACCCTACCTAGTACAGTTTTCTGCAGACAAAGGAGATGTTGGGCAGCTGCTTGAAGATCTCTCCTTTGGAGAAGACTGCTGATATACTCAAAAAAAAAAAAAAGGTAAGTATTACTACTTAAAAAATAAGATTACCCCAAAATGCATTGCTAGCCCACCCCAACACTTACAATAATGATAAATGTGGACCAAAAATGTATTAAATATATAATTTTAGTAAAACAAGCAAAATGCAATTTTTGTCATATGCCATGGCTATGCATGAACACTAGACAAATGCAGCCAAAGTGAATACATCTCAATTTTCAGTCAAGTAATTAATGCACAAGTTAATGAAACGATTGTTATTTACTGACAACAGCAGGAAACACAAATATGAGTAAAAGAATGAATAAAAGTAACCATGAAAATCAACAAAGTCGACAACACATGAAACAAAGCTTTATTCAAACTTTTCTAACTGATGTATTTACAGGCAGTCTTACTGCCATCTCTACACAGCTGTGCCAGTTCTGCAGCTTTATTCTGATGAAGCAGCTGACCACCGTGTCCACATTCACCTGTCTGCTGTCCATCATGTCCCTCATTGCTGCAGTCAGACTGGAATCTGATCATGGATGGGAAAGGGACATCGAGGCTGTCCTTGCCTGAGTGCACAGAGAGGATGAGGAACATCATGATGCACCCTGAACCCCACAATCTTGAACATGTGCAGGACAATCTGATTGCTGCTGTGTCTGCTCCAAACATCTGTGTGCCTGCTCTCCATGAGCACGACTACCTGTAAAACATTTACACAGAGTAAAACGTTTTACATCTCATGCTGTCAGCATTCCATTTCTTGCCAAATTTAATTTCATATGTTTACAATTACATGCTAATTTTTGATATAGCTTCATTATTTTTGTGGTGTAGTGGGCTAAAGCACTGAGCTGGCAAGCAGAAGGTTACTGGTTCAATCTCTGCAGTCGTCACCACTGGTTGTGTCCTAGAGCAAGGCTCTTTTCTCCAGGTTGCTGCAGGGGGATTGGGGTCCCTGTAATAAGAGCACTGTAAGTCATTGGATAAAAGTGTCTGCCAAATGCATAAATGTGATTTTTGTAAATCCCTTTTTGTGTCTTGGGCACAGACGCTCAATAAAGCTGCTTATTTCAAGTTTATTTCTTCAAGGTACTATAATATAAATGCATACATATATTTTATACAATTTCTATTTGGGGGATTTAAAGGGTTAGTTTAGCCAAACATAAATTCAATCATTATTTGCTTGCCTCAATGCTGTTCAATCCTTGTGCTGCTGTGGACATCTCCATCCTCACTGCACACAGCAGTCTCCAGACATTTCAGATACTGCAAAAATGCACAAACACAATACAGAATCAGTCATTTTAACAGCACAATGTCATTTCATTTCTGTATTAGAAGTAAAAAAATATATATATATGTATCTTAATTAGTTTTTGTTTCAGGTTTTCTCTTTTTTTCCACGTCACCTTTCCTTGCAGGTCCTGCTCCACCACAAAGCTCTGCAGCAAATGCACAGGAATCAAGAATAAGAAAAGTACTCTAATAACAATAATTAAAATAAAATACAACTTAAGATTTAAAAGATGTTTAATTCATTTCTGTAGTGTACTCACTCAAAGCCTTTGATGGCAGCATCAGTCACACTGCACCTGATAAACACACCTGTGTCTCATTTGTCCCTGTAACATCCAGACAAGTCAAGTTACCTCTGATTTATCTGCTCAATACTGCATTTACATGTTGAGGTAGTTGCTAATTTGCCAACACAAATGTTCCTCAATTTATCAACAGTACTAATGAACAAATAAAACGCATAACTTATGTTTAGTTACTCTGTAGATTTATTTATTTACATTACATTCAACTAATGTAAGCAGTGTTGACAACAGTGAATTCTACTACTTCCATACATCACGCCGATGTCTATTTCTTGTCTATTAGGTGTGCCCATCTGTAATTCTTTTCGAACATTTTCCTGACATATTAAATAGACATTTAGTAATCTTTAAGTCTTTAAGATGTATATGGTTTATGTAAATTCACTTTGGAGACGTAGGCCTATGTGAGCTCCCATTTTCGCTATAACATCATAAAATGTGTTTTTACAGAAAAATCACAAATATACTATACTGTCTCGCGTCTTACACCTTCAGCAATTCAGTTAACTCTACAGTAGTTCAACAAATGCCATTTTAACTAGAGCCCGACCGATATATCGTTTTGCCGATATTATCGGCCGATATGAGCCTGTTGCCAATATATCGGTATCGGCAAATATTCCGCCGATATTACTTTTTTTTTTTATAGAACATATAATGCAGATAAAATGCTTGAAATGGTGTAATTACTTAGTTTGTCCAGCAGAGCGCGCTCTATTGTTTGCTACTGGCGACCTGGATGAAACGCTTTAAAGCTTAAGTCTATGGAAAACCATTGAAACTTTGAACGGCCATATCTCCGTAACGGCGCGGCGAATCCGCACCAAATTTGGGGGATCCCTTCAGCTCGAGGAACCCTCTCGAACGCGAATCCAGTGTATGTCTAGAGGCCCGCTTTCGAATGAGACCACCCCTGCGTCGATAGCCCCCGTGGTCTTATTCGACCATAAGTGCAGTCCAGTTCCAAGGGAACGTACACGTTACATTCAAAGGGCATTTAAGTGCGCGAGACGTGAATTTATATTGTATTTATGTAGAGAGGTATATTATGTCACACTTCTCTAGTAAGTTTCGTCTGTGTGTGAAGACAGTAGCGCAAATCCGTGAATGAATGTATGTTCCGAAGTGACCTGACATGTGGCCAAGTATGGTGACCCATACTCGGAATCCAAAGTGAACACACACACACCGTGACTCTCGGTTGGTTGTGCATCTTTTTCTTCCACACTTTTTCCTTCCACTCAACTTTCGGTTAACATGCTTGGATACAGCACTCTGTGAACAGCCAGCTTCTTTTGCGCTGGCGTCTCCATGTCCTGCAGAGCGTGCTTTAACTTCCACTCTCCGCGCAAATGTTTGGATATGCGCCTAACAGCGCTCATTTATCTAGGTTAAATTTTTAAATTAATACTGTGAAATGCATGAAGTGTTTTATGCCTGTTTATTTTAGGCAAGTTGTGTTGGTTTGAGAAGGCTAAGTTGATCAAACATAATGCTCAACTCACTGTCGTTCCTTTAAAAAATAAAAACTTGAATTTAACAAACATAAAATGTTCCAAACATATTTCTAAATCAACTTTATAAAGAAACAAAAAGAAATATGACCACTTTGCCATTAAAAACCAAAACTGAACTATTTGAATAGCTGTGTAATGGGGAAGAGAGAGGTATGCACATTACTAAGCACTGAAATATAAAACAAATAAAAAAGGAAAAGGCGTTTTTTTTAAATAATAATTAAACACTGCGTCGTCAGAGTTGGTATTTTGGCAGTGCGGGCAGGTGCCAAATCCTGCTGGAAAATGAAATCAGCATCTTCAAAAAGCTGGTCAGCAGAAGGAAGCATGAAGTGCTCCAAAATGTCTTGGTAAATGGGTGCAGTGACTTTGGTTTTCAAAGTCCAAGTATCAGACACTTGCACTTAACATTTTATGAAAATCAAGATCAAATGGAGTTCACAAGGTTTTTGACCAGCGAATGACGGAGATCTGTGTTTTGTCTGTCATTACAACGGGTCAGCAAGTGCATCGCATTATTCGCTTTCATCAACTTACAGGTTATAACATTTATTGTAGCTTAGTTGGTCGCTTAGTTTTTCATGTCGTTTAGCTATTAGCAATGTCTAAATCTCATGATAGACGATGAAGCGCTATATGCACAGGATATTTAAAACGTAGCCTACAAAAGTAGCCTATTGGTGACTGCAAAAGCTATTCTCCGCTCTTCAAACACACACAAAAATATTAGCCTTTATAAACATAGTGTTTTAGTGAAGAAAACGCTAAAGCGCTAAAGATGAATTTCTCTTTAAATGCACGTCCAATGAGGAGATGGTGAGTCAGGTTGGTCAAATACATTTTTGCAACATTGACTCCGAAAACATTGGTTTATTAACAAATAATTAAAATATCCCCTCACAATTTTTTTTACTTTTTATTTTATATTTATTTATTTAGTTAGATTTTTGGGCCGCTGTGCCAAAATTGTGTTTGCATTCAGTAGCCTATATGGCAGCATTTTTGTGCCACCTTCAAAAATAACTAAATAAATAAGATTAACGTCATAATATTCTAAGAATAAAGTCAAAATTAAGATAATAAAATCATGTTATAGTGCGTGAAGTTAATGTGAAAATTCCACATATATGCCTTACATGGCATCCGTCATTCTTTTGACTTTTTTTTTTAACTCTGATCGATTCATGAGACATTCGTTTGTATTAAATTGTTCTGATTTTAACATGCATTCAAATATTCATGTTTATTTCGTGCTGCAAATATTAAAGAGGAAAATATCATTGATTCATATGCAGCTTGAAATGAGGCGAAGCTCACTACAAATTAAAGAGCGTAAAAAGACGTTTATTGTTTGTATTTTATCATAAGATTGACAGAAGGCTGAGACCTTGTATTAACAAAGCACAAAGCTGCGATTATTGAGTGGCTTGCGTACTACAAATAATGAATGGACTTGAACATTTTAAACATCATTGACAAGCATTAGCCTATACCGTAAATAAGCTTGTGAATAGTCAAGATTCACGTAACGTTATTTACTTAAGAAAAATCAACAATAGGGCCTAAATTAAGCTAACCTAGTTGGAGCCCATAAAGTTTGGGGGGCCGTACACATTTTTTTGCATATGGGCCCGGGGCTGACTCGTTTCGCCACTGTCTCCCTACGACTGTGATCATAAGGCTTCAGTATGAAGTATTGTTCACATGAACAATAGGCTACTATATGAGCTACAGCCTTATTTTAATAGACATAACATTTGAAAATGAAAATGTGTCAAACTGGGTAGACCAGTTTTCAAAACATTTTCAAATAGGTGTATAAACATCTATTAATCATTTATCAATATATAGGCTCTTAATATGAACATGTAGAGTAGCCTACAAGAAACTGCTCTTGTAATAAGCAGCTGTATGACATGAGAAAACTAAGACAAAAAACAAAACCTGAACTCTGAAATAATAGACATCTGCTGATCATACAATTATCTAGTTTTCAGAAATTATGTCTACTGTATAGTGAATAATTTTTTTCTTTAGAGACGTGTTATATTAACTATTACCAGTAAGTTTATATGTGCTCTGATTAACATTAGCCTATATTATTATATTGTATTATTTTATTTAAAATGTAACTGTGAATATATTTGGACACTCCATGTTAGTCACTGAATAGGCTTACATGATTTTCAATTGATTTTTAGGTAATATTGCTTGAAGAGTGAATTATAATGAGTGCTCAAAGAAAAAAACTCTATTTATGCTGTTTATTTTATTATCAAAGCCTATGTCATTACAACCTGAGGCTAAAAGCTGTGATATTAATGTTGTCCACTAGAGAGAGCCACAGGATAAGGAATAGGCCTATTTGAAGTTTATTTTGAAAAATTAATTTCCACACTTGAACAGAAATAAATGTATATAACAATTTAATTGAACTATGATGTACTGACAGTATCGTTTTATATAATCAGTGTACATTGCTTATCCCAAAGATTTTCCAATTGTTTAAATTTTCCTAAATGCTGTCTTAGTTTTTCTCGATTACTAACACACAATTCATGAAACAACTGTAACAAAAACCTCTTATTGGGATTCAGGAATTATTTGGCAGCTCAATGTCTTAGTATACAACACAAATGAAAAATGCAGAAAGAATCAAATACACCAATAAGCTTTATGAAACATAAATTTTCATTACACTACTGTAAGTGATCTTACAGTAGATGAAGTAGATGATCTTACAAGAGAAGTAATGTTCAAAAACAAAATAACTAAATATCAAATAGGTTTGTGACATAATACAGTATAGTGTTGATTGCATACATAAATAAATTGGCCAAATTTCATTACAGTAGTATATGGTACAAAAATAAATTTCTTGGTCTTCTGACAAAACACTTTCTCAACCTCCCTTCGGCAGTTGTCTTTCAGACTCAGTTCTGCAAAAAAACGGGTAAACAAAAAAACAGGCTAAATTTGACAGTCACAAGTTTGAGTGTGTACAACATGTCATACTGTTTACTGGAGACTGAATGGTGAAATGTCCCTTATATAAAGTACTGTTACTATACTGTACTACATTGTGTAAACAGTGTAAAACCCTGTCGGTGATTCTTTCAGCTCTCTCTCCGGTGCTAGGACGCATTTTTAAAGGAGTCACCTGTGCTCCTGTTTATACTATCCTGAGATTCTGACTGGTGTGTCATCAGTTTTGCTATACTGAATGCTTGCTTATGGATAATTGTGTGTTGTTTGAGTTCACACTGTGACAGTAGAGTTAATTATATAATGTGTTTTATGAATGAGAACATAAAATATCTGTAAAATGAGGCCAACTTTGGAGAAATCATAAAAAAACTGGAATGTATTTATGCATGCCAGTATAACACATAGCCTAGAATATTATAATTTCTAAACTACTAAATTAATTAGTAAAACGTGATTGAAGTGTTTACTCATGGTCCATTGCTTACATTATGAATGCATCTTTAATTTAGAATTTGGTCTTTGGAATTAACTGTGTTAATGCACTAAGCATTAATTTTTCAATTTTGTTTTATTGAGGACAAAACTCTTAAACTCATAAAAATGTTGTCTTTCCATTTGGATTATACTGCCATTATCTTATACAGTATATGGTGCTTACATGAAAGCTGTGAATTGGTTGTTAGTTGTTTTACAAGTTATAAGCACTGTTTCTAAATAACATTGTAAGTTCATTGATTAGCTAATATTGCAGTGTAATTTCAATTTTACTTCTGAAGATTATGGAATATTCTGGGATTTGGAGGTGCTAAAATGTTATAACACACAGATTTTTTCTTTTTTTTTGCTCAGAACAAAACAGAACAAAAAACACTAATCTATAGCACTTAAGACATTTGACAAAATCACACACAGAACTGGCAAAAGGTACTGCAGATGACACGCGCAGACGTCATGTAGCTTCTCAGGTATCTTCTCAGGTAGCTTCTCAGGCAGCTTCTCACGCGAGAAGGGGGGCGACGAAAGTGTCGCGCTTCTTCACACGTCATTGGTCACAGCTTCTGCTCACGCGACGATCGACACGACTGATTGCTTAGTTAGCAACGTAAGTGCTTAAATCACACTCCATGTGATTTTGGCACGAAGTGCGCGCCATACTGTATAGCTTACGTGTGGATAAGCGTCTGGATAACGTACGTGTGGAGAAGTCTGGATAACTTACGTTAAATAAGCGTCTGGATAAACAGTACGTGTGAATAAGTACATTGATAATCATTTGGCTTTGTCCCAGGGGCTGCGTTTCCGTATGGCAGAGTATGGCAGTCGCCATACCCTAGCCCAGTCAGGTGTGCCGTGGAAAATCCAAACTCTTTATTATATTTCGTTATTATTGTTTTAAATCACTGCTATTGGTCTTTCTTATGTCTGTTTGAGGGTTTTACAAATATGTAACCAATGAACAGCAGTCAAAAGAGCTTGTCACTAAACTTTTTAAAGCTATGGATCCTCAAACTGTCAGCAAAACCTCTTAACTTCACCCTGCTTCCATTCAGAACAAAGCGCCGCGCAGCCTGGAGACAGATCTCGGCTTGTTCGCAATGCAAGGATAAATAATAAATGATGTTTGAATAAGTACAGCGTTTTCTTCACTAAAACACTATGTCTATAAAGGCTAATGTTTTTTGTGTGTTTGAAGAGCGGAGAATAGCTTTTGCCGTCTAGTACAACCAATAGGCTACTTTTGTAGGCTACGTTTTAAATATCCTGTGCATATAGCGCTTTATCATGAGATTTTGGCCAAATGTATTAAACGACATGAAAACTAAGCGCCCATATAGCTACAATAAACGTTATAACCTGTAAATTGATGAAAGCGTATAATGCGATGCACTTGCTGCCTATAAATGATGTTTGAATAAGTGCAGCGTTTTCTTCACCAAAACACGATGACTATAAATGGTCTATAAATGGCTAATATAGGCTACTTTTGTAGGCTACGTTTTAAATATCCTGTGCATATAGCGCTTTATCATGAGATTTTGGCCAAATGTATTAAACGACATGAAAACTAAGCGCCCATATAGCTACAATAAACGTTATAACCTGTAAATTGATGAAAGCGTATAATGCGATGCACTTGCTGCCTCAGATGCGGCCGTTGTAATGACAGACAAAACACAGATCTCCGTCATTCGCTGGTCAAAAACCTTGTGATCTCCATTTGAGCTTGATTTTCATAAAATGTTAAGTGCAGGTGTCTGATAAAGCTACATACCAACTCTGACGACGCAGTGTTTATTTATTATTTTAATATTAAAATATGTTTTAAACACATTTTATATACTTACTTTTCTATATGTCTTATATTTCAGTGCTTAGTCATGTGCATACCTCTCTCTTCCCCATTACATAGCTATTAAAATAGTTCAGTTTTGGTGTTTAATGGCAAAGTGGTAATTTTTCTTTTTGTTTCTTTATAAAGTTAATTTAGAAATATGTTTGGAACATTTTATGTTTGTTAAATTCAAGTTTTTGCTTTTTAAAGGAACGACCAAGCGGCAGTGGCAGAGCATTATGTTTGATCAATTTAGCCTTCTCAAACCAACACGACTTGCCTAAAATAAACAGACATAAAACTCTAAATGCATTTCACAGTATTAATTCAAACATTTAGCCTAAATAAATGTGCGCTGTTAGGCGCATATCCAATCGTTTGTGCGGAGAGTGGAAGCTAAAGTGCGCTCTGCAGGACATGGAGGCGCCAGCGCGATCACTTGCATTTTTTTTTATAACAGTGGAAACTAAAATATACGCCGTCATTTTTGCTCATAAAGGTAAGAGTATGCATCATTCGGACCTGCAAAGGGTCTACTTGTATTTGTGTGCACTCACAATATCAACAAAATCTTTTAAAGATTTAAAAAAGAAAACAAACAGGATGTGCTTTCTGTCCTCTTGGTCTTGAGCAGGAGCGCTTCACCGACATAAATATATCTATAGAATGCTTTAAATTACTATTTTAAAACGAAATAATTCAAATCGAAAACATAACCTCTTTCATTATGTAATCCCTAAAGATGAATTTCTCTCTAAAGGCACGTCCAATGAGGAGATGGCGAGTCAGGTTGGTCAAATTAATTTTTGCAAAATTGACTCAGAAAACGTTGGTTTATTAACAAATAATACAAATATCCCCTCACTATTTTTTACTTTTTTTTGTATTGTTTTTATTTATTTATTTTTGTTTGTTTTTTGGGCCGCTGTGCCAAAATTGTGTTTGCATTCAGTAGCCTATACAAGCAGCATTTTTGTGCCACGTTGAAAAATAACTAAATAAATAAGATTAACGTCATAAGAATAAAGTCAAAATTAAGATCATAAAATCATGTTATATTGCGTGAAGTTACTGTGAAAATTCCACATATAGGCCTACTCCAAAAAAAAAAGTCTGTGGCATCCGTCATTCTTTTGACTTTTTTAAAAACTGATTGATCGATTCATGAGACATTCGTTTGTATTAACTTGTTCTGATTTTAACATGCATTCAAATATTCATGTTTATTTCGTGCTGCAAATATTAGAGGAAAATATCATTAATTCATATGCAGCTTGAACTGAGGCGAAGCTCACAACTAATTAAAGAGCGTAAAAAGACATTTATTGTTTGTATTTTATCATAAAATTGACAGAAGGCTGAGACTTTGTATTAACAAAGCAAAAAGCTGCGATTATTGAGTGGCTTGCGTGCTACAAATAATGGACTTGAAAACTTTAAACATAATTTCCAAGCATTAGCCTATACTGTAAATAAAACAGCTTGTGAATAGTCACGATTCACGTAACGTCATTTACTTCAGAAAAATCAACAATAGGGCCTAAATTAAGTTAACCGAGTTGGAGCCCATAACGTTTGGGGGGGCAGTACACATTTTTTGCATATGGGCCCGGGGCTGACTCGTTTCGCCACTGTCTCCCTACGACTGTGATCATAAGGTTTCAGTAGATATCAACACATGAACAATAGGCTATATATGAGCTACTGCCTTAATAATAGACATAACATTTGAAAACGAAAATGTGTCAAACTGGGTAGACCAGTTTCAAAACATTTTCAAATAGGCCTATGTATAAACATCTATTAATCATTTATCAATATATAGGCTCTTAATATGAACATGTAGAGTAGCCTACAACAAACTACTCTTGTAATAAGCAGCTGTATGACATGAAAAAACAAAAACAAAAAACAAAACCTGAACTTTGAAATAATAGACATCTGCTGATCATACAATTATCTAGTTTTCAGAAATGAGGTCTACTGTATAGTGAATTATTTTTTTTTTAGAGACGTGTTGTATTAACTATTACCAGTAAGTTCATATGTGCTCCGATTAACATTAGCCTATATTATTATATTGTATTATTTTATTTAAACTGTAACTGAGAATATATTTGGACGCTCCATGTTAGTCACTGAATAGACTTACATGATTTTCAATTGATTTTTAGGTGATATTGCTTGAAAAGTGAATTACAATGAGTGCTCAAAGAAAAAAACCCTCAATTATTTATGCTGTTTATTTTATTATCAAAGCCTATGTGATAACATAACCTGAGGCTAAAAGCTGTGATATTAATGTTGTCCACTAGAGAGAGCCACAGGATAAGGAATAGGCCTATTTGAAGTTTATTTTGAAAAATTAATTTCCACACTTTTGAACAGAA